ATAAAGAATTTAATGTGACCAAATGCTTTTTGTGGGTAGAAACAGGAATTACAAATAATTGATTCCGTGAAAATCACAAGAGAGATACTAAATTTGAATTGCGGTAATTTTATGACATCTGTGTGGAACTTAAGCCGACTCAAAAAGGAGTTAGGTATCTCGAGAATATCCATGAGGTAAGTTTAAGCAATTAGCAAGTAAGTTCCTTGCCATTTCTTTATACTTTCTCAACTCATAAGCCTTCCTTAATTTCTACAAATATTTCAGAACCAAATGAGCCAAATCATCCCACCTGTTCTCGAGTTTGAATAGCATAGAATAAATTAAAATTCGATCAAAAATAGTAGACAAAACTGCTGCCAAATGATGAAAACTGAAATAAGCCTATAAAATATTATAAACTAGCTGTTTTCCCGTGACTTCGCATGCGTAAATTATAGTCTATGTCAACTCCGTATGATGTACTAGCTACCCGTAGATGAAAGAATCTTTAATATCGGTCCAATAGTTTCGAAGCCTGTCTCGCTTGCTCGATTACGTTAAAAACATTTTAAAAATAAACTTTAACTTAAGGGTATATAGTTGCTAATACATTAATTTTCTGGGATAAATACACACTTGAACTTTGTAATTAAACTGACAAATAAGTTTTTTATTCTAATGGTGTAGGTCAAGGTTAAATTATACAAGTAGCATCCTTAGTTTTTAATTTTCTTCTATTGTCTTGCCATCAGTTAGAATAATTTGGTGAATAAAGGCAAATAAATATCTCAATTTGTAGATTAGGTACTTGTAAATAAGCAATTCTGAATTTTAACAATAAGAAGGATGAAAAAAGTATGAAAGGAAGTTCATTTTCACCGTCCACAAATTTACTGACCGCAAACCGTTTTCGGGGCGACGACAATAAAGTCTAAAAAGTTTATTCTGGAAACCGTTCCATAAACTATACGTCAACTGAACTAGTTACTTCGACACAATTTCATGTTCCGTTCAGTCCGTCTACGACATAAACTAGTCGAAAAAAAAACAGTTTTTAGACTAGTTTACGGTGAACGATAAACAGTCCTTTCGTTGATCGAAAAAGCGTCGACGACCCTACCCCTAATTTTCATAAATATACATTTATTCAAGAGGAAAGTTTATGTATAATATATGCAGGCAAAGCCACTGGTGGAAAGCTAGTTATTATATTTATACCTATAAAATGCATACTTACTAATTTGACTCGCTACATTTAGACCACTTCCCAGTTTTCGATTGAGTCAAAATTCTACCCGCATAACTTGGAGACAATCCAGTAATAATTAAAAACTCCCATACAACAAAAGTGATTTTTTTGCTTGTTTTTGCTCGATATTGATAACGACAACAGATAGATACTTGAAACATTTACGGAATATGTAGTTATAAATTAACTTTAACGATAAATAATTCGTTTTGAAGAAAATTCATTTATATTTACATGTTATTCTGACTTTGTTATCACAAACGATTTGATTATAAGTAATTTGTTTTAAAAGCTGCCTCGTTTTTCATATCATTCATATTATTCCGTTTTTCACACGCATTCATGAATGACTAGTGGACGCCCGCGACTTCGTCCGCGTGGAAGTCGGTATCCCGTGGGAGTGAGAAGTTTTCCCAGTAAAAAGTACCCTATGTGTTATTCTGATGTATAACCTATATTGCTGTAAAGTTTTATCCAAATCCGTCCAGTAGTTTTTTCGTGAAAGAGTAACAAACATCCATACATCCATACTTACAAACTTTCGCCTTTATAATATTAATAGGATAAATCAACATTCAAAATTGCTATGCACTTATAATAATTTGCGTAAATAAAAGGTACTTTAAAATTGTCGGTTTAAATCAACATTACAGTTTCGCGGTTAACCGTCAATGTCCCTATAGAAAGCGCATATTGGTTTATAAGCCACAGAAATCAACGGCAGTTAATGTATTTTTTAACCAGCATCTTTACATATTTAAGACCATTTTAACAGACTTTTAATAGGAGCTTATCAATGTGACAAAATGTTTTAATGAAATGTTTCATGATACATGTAGTATCTTTACTCCGATACGGACTGATATTATGGAGAAACTCAGTTAATAAGGAAAATGTATTTCTAGCCCAAAAAAGTATATAAGTAAGCTATCTGTAATATAAAACAAACTGACAGTTGTAAACCGTATTTTATATCTCTGAATCTTTTGAGTTTACCTTCTGTGTATAATGAAATTAACGTAGTATGTACTAATTACAACTTATATAAAAAACTAGCTTTCCGCCAACGGCTTCGCCGGCGTGGTCTTGTATTATACATAAAAATCTTCCTTTTGAATCACTCTATCTATAAAAAAAAACCGCATCAAAGTCCGTTGCGTAGTTTTAAAGATTTAAGCATGCATAGGGATATACGGACAGAGAAAGCGACTTTGTTTTACACTATGTAGTGATTTAATAGTAAAAAACTAAAAAGCAAACTCTTAATTCCACGTAACAAGAAATAGTTTATGAATAGTACGCTCTGAAAAGCGTACTATGTAAGACACCTCGACTAGACAATAAGATACCTAACCTCATGACATTGAAAAAAATCAATACGAGTAGTTTAAGTACCTACATTTCGCAGTAAACAAAATGTGTGGGTAGAGCAGTTGCCCGGATTACGAAAGGTCATGGATTCCAATTCTATCTCAGGGTGCCAGGGACCAAGTGGATTTTTAAGAATTTTTCATTATGAATATTCTTCAGTATAGCATTGTGAATGCGAAATTATTCAAATATATTATTAGTAATAATTAATATTAAATTTGTTTCACATTGAAAATTCATTTTAATTAATGACTTACCTGTATTTGCAAATAAAAGTTTTGATTTCATTTGATATCTTCGTGAACCGACTTTTATGAACTTCTCTTTTTTTGAAATGGTAGTATTGAATAATAATTCCAATAAATTTTCACGAGGATTTAATCAGGATTGCGATCGCCGAACTCTTTAGCCAACTTATGCGACATCTTAGTTATATTTCGTTTAATTTTACTTCTTTGCTCCTATGACTGTTATGGCTATGGCTAGAGTACAAAACACAGAAAAGAAGTTTGGCGAGTCTAAGGCGGTCCCACATCAGCAGCTTTTTAATTTCATCTCGTTTTTGATAAAAAAAGAAAATAACTATTATTTTATAGTCATTTTCGTAAAGAAAATGGTAAATTGAAATTGTTTTTTTCATAAACCTAATATATATTTTTTAAACTTAAAATATATATCAAAAATAAAATCTATACAAGGCCTTATTGAAAAAAAACGTTAAAAATAAGTGTAATAAAAATAGTAAATATTCAAAATAGGTAACATGCATGTTCGTAATTATGTAACTTAACAGCGCCATCTATGTTTTACGATTAAACGTAATTTGAAAATAAAAGCAATGTTTATTTAATCGTCAATCGCGTCAACCCCGACATCTATTTGGGAGTAGCAAAACTATTTAATCGATTTAAACGCCATCTAGCGACAAGCGGCAATACTATCTCCTAACGAATGACAAATAGTTGTATTAAAACTAGTCTCAAAAAGCTTTGGACTGAATATATAGTTAAATCAAAATAACTTAGATGGCGCTAAATTGGCGCTTATTGCCTTCAAAAGTATTTGTATAAAATTAATTTAGGCAAAATTAAACATTGCGACTTCATAGTAAATGGCTATTTGTTTAAATAATAAACTTGACCTTTATTTAGTTGTGCGAAAACACTGGTTCATTGGTGATGTCTGGTGTATCTAATAAAAAAAAATGTAATTTGCATTAACATAAATTATTTATATTTCTTATTATCTAACACAATATGATAATTATAAACTATAATCATTGCTACGCGCCGTCGTCGCTTTATCCGGTCCAAAAGTAATTGCACATACATCTTAAACATAGAACAATATACTAACATTTCTCAATTATATCTGATGCCCACTATAACCTCCAAATAATTCAGTTATAAACCAATATGGTTATATTCCGAAGTACAATTTACACCTCATAGATAAATATATTTACTTATAATCTATAAATATGTTGTCGACAAAAAAAATTAACTCGGTAGACAGACAAGTTAACTAGCCACTATACTAATAAAAGTGAAAATCTGACTTTATAAATTCGGGACTTTGAAAAAAGTAATTGAAAGAATTCAATTTCTTAATAGAGCTTATATGATTTTTTTAAATATCAATATTATATTTATGTGCTGGAAGAAACCAAAAAGATCGTATGCCTTTATTGATCGAAGTTGAAACAGACTGTAAGATAACTTTACACACAACAATACCACATGCAACCGTGAAGAGATATTTTACTTTTTTTAATCATTATTTATGTTATGTGAATAAGACTAGCTAAGGACGTAATCGCGTCATATGTAGGGAATTTTAGTCCCGGGATTATCTTCGAATACGCCGGGACACAACCAAATCACGGGACAGTCCCATTCAAAACTGGACGTGTGGTTACTTTATATATAACCTCAATATTTTGACTCATGACAGCGAAAACTTTTTAGTTCAATAGAGAAAAAATATATATATAAATAGTTGGTCCAAATTGCAGTTATACGTATTCATGAAACCACTGATTGTGAAGTATTAAGATGTAATATTATGTGCAATAATAATAATGCGATTATTTTAATAGAGATGATACAATTTTTTTTATACATCAGATAGATCATTGCAAAATATTAAGTTTTTTTATTTTTAATCAATTAATAGAGTTGAAATGCCAGATGACGTCACACCTTTTCAGATTTTCTAGATATTTATGACACTCCTCAACTTCAATGCATATTAACAAAGTCATTTCTTACGTATCTAATATTTTTCTATTATCCCACTGATGGTTTTTTTTTTACCCATGCGTCATCCCTATTTCTGTATAGTCTATGATTGGAACGCGACTTTATTTTGCCTCTTCTTCTTTTTCTTCTTCTTTTTAACGTCATTATATTGAAATTCCACATTGGAACCGCTCAAATCCTGATAGGCATCCGTTTTTCTACTTTCATAGTCTGGAAACGTAATGCCTTCTGTTTGTTGGTAATTTTCCGAGAATGTCTCTGAGAATTTGGTGCTGAGTGTTTCGGAGCCGAAGAATTTGTTCGTGAACTCGGTCGGTTTCTGGAGATTCTGGTACTTTTCGTTTTGCGGATAGATCGTGTTTAGGATGTTGGTTGCTATGGCGACGGGCGTAGTGGTATACGCGCCCTGCTGTAGCGGTCAGAACTTCAGGTCCTGCCAAATCGTATAAAATAAAAATATAATTTAAATCGTGTTATTTATATTTTTTAATACTCAACCTTCCTAACATATTTGCAGTTTTTTTATCACAGTTTTTGACACTTTTATTTATTTACACTTAATTAACATTATTATTTACACTTTTATTTATTTATTTATTAGTTGGGTACTAATTTTACTTAACTAAAATTAGTACCCAACTAATTTACTGCACCTTTAAATAGTCTTATATTTAACTGTGATAATCGAATTGAGTGCAAGAGACTTATCAACTCTTAACAGTAACGACATTTACATAACCCTTGTTATTACTTGTTACTAAACCAATATTGTAATACCAAAATTGTTAGTTAACATATTAATAAAATTTATTATCTCAGTGAACAAATGTCTTTCCAATAGTTTTGGAACATATATGCAAAGAAAAAAAAATTATAATATTTAAGTATTATAATTGGTATATTATTATATTTGATTAATTTTGCATTCATGAATTTGAGCCCCATCTCAGAGTTACAGGGACAAAGTAGATTTTATAAGCGTTTTGTCATTAAGAATATTTTACAGTATGCAAAATTGATAAAATATAATTGAACAAATTTTCATATTTATTGAGAGTGTCAATATTTGTTAAAAGTATTTCTTTAGGCTGTGGGTGGATTGCCTGAACATTGATGTATATACGCTCTGTAGTAGAGAAAAACTAACAAGTGCTTGAAAAATTAATCAGTTCTCGGAGGTTCTGGGTTGCGGATAGCAAAAGGTCATGGGTTCGAGTCGAATCCCGTCTCAGAAAGTGGATTTTTTAATATTTCACTAAGAATACAATTGATATATGTTTTTATAAGTATTATTATCTTTATTATCCTTTTGAAAAGTAGCATAGAAACATATTGGCAAAAATACGTCATCAACCTCTAGGTACAGTAATAATAATAATATAACTGAAAAATGGTGTCCTCCCCTTCCTCGATTTTTCGAGGAACCGGGAAGAAAATTAGGTTTATTCTTATAATAATAATAAATTTTATTTCATAAGATAACAAAAAGGAAACATCATAATCAATGTGTTTGATATCTTTCCTCTTTTTATTCTCCTACATCAACAAGTAAAAAAAAAAAAGAGAAAAATGGATATAACTGTAACAAGCACATTATTAAATTTTGAGCACTGACTACAATCTTTTCCTATATAAAAGACAAAGGTGACTGACTGACTGATCCATCAATGCTCAGTTCAAACTGTCTGGATGAAATTAAAACTTACTCTCTAATAGTTATTATAACAGCCATTTGCTAAGAAATGAATTGTTAAATTCAACCCCTATTATTATTAGGGAATTAAATTATCACATTTGAAAATTATGTTATCCCCAAAAGCTAATTAGTTGAAATAAACAATATACGTAATAAAGTTTGTTAAGTAGTATACCTTGATAGCTTGCGGCAGATCAGGCAAGCGCATGTCTCGTAACTGTTGTGATAAATTCATACTCTTTACTGCTGATACAGCGCGCGCCGGGGCGGCTGATATACCCGCCTGTATACACAAAATATAACTTAAATTTTTAGTTCCTACATAATTGTATAAAACAAGATGTAACCGGAAGTTGGAAACATAAGTCTAATTTTGTTTTTCTACTACTTTTATCACAAGCAAGTATTACCTCGGCCTTCTGCATTTTGTTTTGCTCCTGCAACCTACACAGTATGTCGGCCATGTTGGTTTGCAGCACCATACCGCCCATCACCAGTTCGTCGAGCACCTGGTGAGCCGCGTCCGCGTGGAAGATCAGGTCCAATTCGCAAACGTTCTCGAAGCATTTGTCTAGGGTTTCCACAAACACCTGACAAGTTACGGACAAAAATTATATGCTGATAAATACATTTACCTAATTATAAAGAATAGTTAAATATTTATATTAATAATCCGTAAAATTTAACCTTTGTCTAAAGCTATTGTGGCCAAAACAAAATGTGCCTACTCTAATTCAATACATAAAAGGACACCCAGACGGTCAGAAACCAGTGGTTGGCAGCTTTTTATTTAGAAGCAGAATCTTTATATATTATTATGATATAACCTGAAATGGCAGAAATTTGAAGGTCTTTGAATTTAAATAATTAGAGATTTTTTAATGTGTCCAACTATTACAGCTTATATTTATTTTATATAAAGAATTAAAACATGCTGGAAATCTACACAATACTATTTTAATACCTGAATCAAATCCAAAATGCCTAGTTCACTCTCTGATGAGTCCACACAGAACACAAAATAGAGGGTTGCATAATGCCTATAGATCAGCTTGTAGTCTGAGCCACCAATCAAACTGAAATTTAAAGATGTATGAATTACTCAATGGAAACAACTCAATTAGTAGTTAGTATCTAATATAATAAAATAAAAATTTTAAAGGCCTTGTGACATTTTTCATAAGTTTAAAAAAGACTTATGCAAATGTATCCTTGAGGTCAAGTTGCCTTGGATCAGCATATTATAACCTTGGGTTATTCCCTTATCAAGCTCTATAAGCATACATACAATTTCACAAATGATGTTAAAATGTAGGAATGAATGTACCCCCAACTTAATAAAAATCAAACAAAAATATGTATAACATGCACATTCCATTGAAAAATATAAAAAAAGTTTTTTTATTTATTTTGGATGCAAATAAAAAATAAGCTCCTGTATTTTTTGCTTTTGTCGAAAAAAAATCTGGCAACCCTAGTCATGCCCCACAATTGGCTCAAAAGTGGTATTGGTAGGGGTGATGAAATTTTTTTTTAAAGACCGTAGTAATCATACTTCAAGTTTTGAGCAAATACTCTTATTTTATTACATAATAAATTAGACATAATCACATGTTTGAAATATACATAGTGTTTATATTTAGGGTTGTCAGTCATAAAGGTTAAGAAACACTGACTAGACATTTCACAGCAAGAGCAACTGACAAGTGATTTCAAGTCTAATGTTGAAAGATTATATGATGAATTGTAACAAGTACATTATGAAATTATATAATGATATAGATTAACTGAATCTAAAGTTTTGGGATCATTCATAGCTCACTTTACTGACATGATAGGTGCAGGGGCCACCCGAACATAACCCAAGCAAGGGCAGATCTGGCTTTGGTGCCAGGCGGGGCGGTCATATAGCCATGGTGAAATCATAAGAAAGTAATTTTGATAATAATAGATACAAAGTATTATATAAAATTATTAAAATATTGAAAGTACCTGAATAAAATCTATGTATATTGGGACAAAAATATATAAAAAGATGATGTATAACAATTTTAATTAGTAGTTCAGTCAGATTCTGGACCCAGTCCAAGAGGTCATGACCCCATGATCACCCCCTTAGATCCACCCTTGAACCCAAGTTTATGGAATGCAATTATAAATTTTGTAAGGCTTAGTTACTAGAATTTGTTATAGATAAAAATTATTGATTTAAAATACCTGCCACCCTCCAGAAAATTGCAAACGTTGTCATCTCTCTTAGAGACAAGTTGGAATGTCTCTTTTATTATTTGTTGTTGCATATCTTCATTCTGTTTCAAACAATACATATTTCGTTTAAAGATATATTGAATAATTATAAATATTACTTGCTACTCTAATCACGCAACTTATTATATTACTAAATAAAATAGTATTAAACGTTAAACATAATTCAATTTCTATCACAAATTATAAACTTACGAAATATTGATAAAATTTCGACAGTCTTGGCTTTCCATGATTATTAAAAACTAAAATAGCTTTTATCATTTTTTTTAAAAGAAATTCTTTTATTTAAACGTAATTTACTAATAAATAAAAAGTGGATCACAAAAGAAACCAGCTTGCGACAAAAATATCAATCGATTTTTTGACAAATGAATCCAATGACATTGACAGCGTTGACAGCTGATTGTAGAGTCGTCCGAATCTTAGGGTTATATACATTCTATTTGTATTATCTTTAAAATCGTAGTCAGATAGACGCGCTCCTGAGCTTTTTTTATTGTTTTATCTATTACCCCAAAATTCAAAATTGACATATTTTATTATTGTTTTTTTTACGTGTAAAGACCACAAACGCGACATTGGCGGAATTGTATAAATGCAAATAGGCCATGAATTAAAAAATAATCTTAGGTCTGAATTATTGGTAAATAACGGTGGGGCGTATTTCACTTAATAATATATTTTAGCGTATAGCAACACCAACTTAGCACCTGTGAACGCACAATTTACGGACTTTGATGCAACGAAGGGAGCTAGCTTACATAGCTAGCTTCCTTCAGGGCAGGGACGGCTCGTCCATATATACAAACTAGGCAATTGCCTATGTCCAAATTACAGTACGTATCTAGGAGGCCGCATGGCACGGCTAACGAATAATGTTTCCTCAAATTTATTTGAACCTTAAAAAAGCAATGCAATGCCTTAAAAAATTGCTAAGGAGTTTCTTTTGTCATTAGCAAAATTACTCTTTTTAATCGGTTTAAGTTTAGATAAAATTAGTCTTTAATTTTGCTGTGATTATTTTATAAGTATCGTTTCGATGTATTATCTTGGGCGCCGAGTTCCAGATTCCAGTATTTGCATAGGGCGCCGAGTTTTAGTATTTGGCTAGGATGGCAATTATCATTGAACCAGGGCGCTGCTACGCAGCAAAAGACCAGTGAAACCATGATGAGATATAAGATTGAGATAGCCACCGTATCATGACTTAACATTTTTATAACAACAGATTATTATTAAAAGAATATATTATATACATTACATAGTCATATCATAAATGGAAAAATGTGTCTTGTCCTTTTCCCTGTCCTTTTTTTACATCGCAACAGTGTATCGACATAGTATTAATTTTGTTTTTTGGGGTGGGTGGGCATATATCTTTTCAAACTAAAATAGATGTTATTTTCAGCAACGATTGATGCTGATTTTAATTTAAAATTCAAGTCGTAACACGTTTGTTGAAGGCAAAATAAAGCAACTCTAAGAAAGAAAGTTAAAAAAACAAGCTGCATATATTCGCTCATTTGCTTATTTTGTCAAGCTAATTTGCTTGGAACAGTAAATATTTAAATACTAGCTCCTTGACTGTTTTATGAAAAGTATTTTAAAACTCGCATATGATCATATTGAATCACTGACAGATTTATTTTCATCCAAAAATTATTATTAAATAAAATAAATACCTATTTTTATTCATTAATTTAAATGGTCCCGCGAAAACAATAAGTGACGTGACATTGCGAGCCGTAACGTTACATTTCAATAAACATGAGTACTAGTTGTACTTGCAACTAAGACGTTTAGTTTATGGAAATGTGACGTTACACCAACACAGCACTTCGTCATAGCCATGAGAATCACAGATTCGAATCACAAGTAACTTTTGAAAAAAATATTATAAATAATACTACAAATTTGTTAGTATTTCCTTTATTTTAGTAGTACTTATTAATAGTTTATTTCACCCACGTATCAATATACGTACCACGTATAATATAGCTTGCCGTAGATGCCATAAGTTTTAAAATTGGTGTTAAGTCTGTCTCACCAAAGAAGTCCCCTTGCATAACTCATATTCATTTGTAATAAAAGCGAAAACATTGTAATTTGAGAGCCTTCTTTTGTGAGACGAACTCTAACTAGTAATTTCGGAATCTATGCAATGCAAACAAAGAAATAATCAAATCTTTGACAAATCTTTCGTTTTTGTAATATGTAGTATATATAACTTGTGAAAATGCAGAAGCGCATACCATATTTATTTTTTATTTACCACATTTGCTAATAGTTTAGTAGTGCAATAAATTTTATTTGAGTAATTTATTACTATCCATCGGCATCGGCATCCACTGATACAATAAAAACCCGCATAAGTAACAATGATGAATACCACGCATTGCTAGGTTTCGTCATCCATCATTATTGCATCAAGTATTATAATGTCAAAATCACTTATTCGTTGATGGATGCAAAAAGTCGGATATAAATCGGACCAATAAGTTGAAACATTTATTTTGGCTAGCAACACTACAAAAAAAAAGGTAAAAACGCGTTGCGCTCGTCGTCGTGTATGTGAATGTCACAAAAAGAAAATCGCAAAAACTAAATTACTATTGTGTGAAATAAACAATAATAGGTGTTTCTAGTGTTTTTTTGTTTTGTGGACTATTGAATGGAAAATCGGTATCGAGCCCTAGCCGCTGAAGAAGCTATAAAGAGGTCAGTTGTTCAGAATGGTGGACTTGTCGCTTAGTTTTCTTTATTTGGAAGCCGGGAATCATTTCCAGGAGTGTCGTATGTCCAAATAAAACTTGATGGTTTCACTCGATGTTTCGGAAATTGTGAGGTCGTATTCTTTAGTTACCTTCGCCTAATTAAACGTAAATGGCACAAACTTGCGATATGTCTTTAAGGGATAATTACTTCTTATAAAGTTATATTTTTACGTTTATGATTATTACTTCAACACTAGTACCAAAATATTTCTGTATAAAAAGTTAATGTGGTCTTGAATTTATTGCTGATATATTTCTACTTAAGTTTTGCAATAAACAAATAAAAATTAACAGAAACAACACTAACATTATTCATATACTTCTGAAGTTAAGAGTTATAAGAGAACCTTAATATGAGTCGTTCAAATGTTAAACAAAGTTAAGATAGTTTCTGTAAACACTCTCAGATCTTACACATAAATCTGTAAACTTTTCTAGAATGTTTTTAAATTATAGAATCTTGTCTGTTCTCTATGAAATGGATAGAGTGATTACATAAATTATTAAAAATAAAACATTCAATAACTTCCTTGTTTGAAGTTGATTAAAAACAAGAAAAATATTAATTATAATAGCATTGTAAATGTAAAATTGATCAAATATAATAATACCTATAGAAAATATCAAAATAATTTATTCAGTAATTGGTATGTAACTGGCATCAAAAACAATTGATAAAATTTTAATGAGAAATAAAAATTCATGATTGTAGTCACCTATGGGCAATGTTAATGGCAAATATAATAATAACAATTTGGTTGATTATTGTAAGATGAATTGGACATTTGCTTGCTTTTTGTATTTGCATTTGTCTGCACAACAGAATTGTTACTATTCTTTATGATATTAAAAAAAAATAAAGAAAATAGGGTATTAGTTTATTTTACATTGTTATTTTGAATTTAACATAGAAAACTTACCGCACCCATCTACTTGCATTTAGTGTGCAAGTGAGGTTTAGAAAGCAAGTGAAAATTTAATTTCTACCTATTAACATATAGATATAATTTGCCTTGTTTAAGTAATTTAATTAATATTCTTAATGAAAGATGCTTAAAAACATCCACTTTTTCCCTGACTAGAATCTATGACCTTTCGCAATATTGGCCACTGCTCTAACTGCAGAGCTACCTAGGCTCTAATAGGACTGACGAATTCTTCAAGCGCATGTTATTTTTTCACTACTACAGAGCGTATATTTATCAATGTTCAGGCAATCTATATATTGATTAAAAAAAAATCAATCTTGATCTAAAATGCTTTGTATCTAAAGAAAAGGTAAACAAACAATGTTTATTAAAAAATATAATCCTATTAATATTATAAATGTGAAAGTTTCTTTGTTTGGATGTTTGTTGGTCAATCACACCGAAACTAATGAACGGAGTTTGATGAAATTTACTCTTTAGTTTAAAGAAGGGTTACTCAGTATACTCTGAATGATTCCTATGTCCAGCTTATTAACTTTAAATTTGTTAAAAAACAACTGTCTTTCTGTTTTGTTCCGTTCACATTCCATCAGGAGATGAGTAACATCCTCGATCTGTTTACATACTTCGCAATTAGTCGAGGTTGCTTTTTTCATCATAAATGAAAATTTCCTAGATGGATTTTGTCCTTGTTATCTACTCCCTCACAGCATGAATGGGCCGGCTCGACCGGAGCGATACCACGGCCTCACAGAAAACCGACGTGAAGCAACGCTTGCGTTGTGTTTCGTCGTGTGAGTGAGGGTACCGGAGGCCCAACCCCTCCTTATTCCCTTCCCTCTTCCCCTCAACCCTTCCCTCCAAGGCCGGCAGCGCGCTTGTAGCCCCTCTGGTGCTGCAGGTGTCCATGGGCGACGGTAATCACTTACCATCAGGTGATCCGTCTGCTCGTCTGCGCCCTACTCCATAAAAAAAAAGAAACTATTTCTGTTCTTTTCCAATCGAAATTTTAAAATAATGTTCTATTTACTATACTTTAAATATATTTAATTTCCCGGGTCCGATTCCTGGTCGAACTTTTCTATATTGTCTCTGGTCTGGGTGTTGCGTTGCTACCTTCGTTGTTTCAGATTGCCATAATATAAGTATGTAGTGTTGTCCAATATCTGTATATTATTAGTTGACTCCGACAATAGAATAAAATAGCTTACACAAGTACCTATTTCAATTCATGTGACTTGGAGGATTGTGCAATATAATTCCTTGGTCTTGACACTACTTGGCAAAGCCTCAGTAACACAAGTTATTGTCGCTCAGATAAACGTTATTCATGCTAATTCAACTGAAAATAGCATTGAGCAAGGTCAGTGCGTTTACTACTTCACATTTCTACTGTAATATCATTTAGAAAGACGTTGAGTTCTGTTTTTAATAGGGAATATTATACAAAGTTCGGCGTAGATGGCAGAACTGGCACGTGTAGTATCCGAATATAATATCCGATTATTGGCTAAAAATACGCTTTTTTTGAAACACAATAAATTAAAAAAATATTAATTGCCTACTATGTTTACGATTACTTTACTCTTTGTTCGCTGCTCTGTGAATGACGTTTGATGATCTTAAAAAATGTTTAAGTGCTAGTGCTGCAA